TCTTTCTTATTTGCCGTTTAAAAATGGAGTTGGGAAAGAAACTGATTTCCCATCCTCAGAAGGTATTTTCATTGTGGCAGAAATACAGCAGAGCTGTGCTTTAAGGGGGGCTTTGAACTCCATGTGATGCAAATCTCAAAACTTCAGTGGCCCCTGCCTGCCTGCAGCAAGGCGACTGCCAGGGCGCTGGGTGCTGCTTCAGGTTGATGGAGGGAGAAAAGGGCTGTAAGTGAGGGCTGCAGACAGCACTGGCCAGCAGAGCAAACAACTCCCTCTCCTTGATTGCTCGGCAAGGTCCCCACAGGTCCCACATTTTCTGAGATGAAATGTCTTTAAAATTTGACACATGACTTTGCGGAGCAATCAGCATTTTCTGAGTATTTTTCTCTAGTTAGGCCAAAGACAATCACATCTTGTTGTCAAGCCAAGGAGGAGAGAGACTCATTTTGAAGGAAAATGTATTAGTTGTGCAGTGAAAAGCATTCCCATTTGTTCTGCAGTATTTATTGTGCTGTCGTTTCCCAGTTCTTGTTAGTGTGTGTTCAGTGGGAGCTGGGAGCCCATTCCAGAGACAAACTGCTGATTCCCAGATGCAGGCAGTGCACAGCGGTGTGAAACAGACATAATTCATAAAACCAATTAAAAATATCTACCGTACTGTATTTCTTACATAAATTTTAAACATGGGCTTTTCATCTTTCCAGTGTTCTATTTTGCATGAGTTTGATGATAATTTGCAGTTCCAAAATGTGTGGAAAAGCAGTGCTATCTGGGATGTGACAGGAGGGGCCCGGAGGCATCAGAGCTCACTGCTCACCGGCCCAGACCTGACCTCACCCCAGCCAATTATTTTTCCAGCATCTGTGCTCCTGTAACCACGTGCAGTGGGCCGTGGTGACGATGTGCAGCAGCCAGCAGTGCTCTCTGAAAAGGAAAAATCATGCTCCACTGAGGAGTGATGGACCCGTGTAACTGTCAACGTAGTTCAGGTTGTACAAACTTTGGTAGAAAATGCCCAGGGTGTGCAAAAATATGAGCTGTATTTTGCCACTGCTCGAGGAATTCAGCAGTGTTTCCCTGAAGTCTGCACAGAAGTGGTTTGCCTATGATGGTAATTGGTTTTCATCTGATTGCAGCAAAACTATGAATCAACTGCAGCCCATTTTTAATAATGAGGAACTGAAACGGAGTCAGAAATACATTCACAGTGCTGCAGCTTTCAGTGATTGCATGCAGTAAATGGTGCCCACGACCCCTTTGTGGGCTCAGCTTCTCTCCAACCTTTCATTTTTCTCCAGTTTAAGCATTACAAAGAAATGCAGTATTTAGAGCAGCCGAGTTGGCACGAGACAGAGCAGAATGCAGGAATTAATTCTGCTCCTCTCTGTGCCCCAGTGCAGCACTGTTTGTGCTTTCCTTTCCCTGCTCCCACAGCGGGCAGCACAGGCAGGATGAGAAGCCGGGCTCTGGGACTTTGTTGGGCTGCGATGTCCCTCAGAACCACTCGTGGAAATGGTGTGGTAACCTTCAGCACTGACTGTGGGAAACTGTACTTAATCTCCCCTGACTAAAGGAAGAGACTGTGTAGTATTAACAGATGGGTAAGTTACTATGGTGATGCAGGCTATATAAATAGAAAATATATATGTATTGTACCTTTCAGACGCGATCTGACAAGAAGATTGTGACCCGTTTCCATGGGACTTTATGGAGGAATGGAGTGTTCATATTAATACTTTGTGAAAGTTGGATGTGACACCAAAGACCTTGTTTTGTTTCAGACAAACGCTGCAGGAACTTTGTGCGCTAGATCCACGCCTACAGAATCCCAAATTCCTGCCGTGTTTGCCGCAGTCCTCGCAGGTCTCCCTCTAACTGTGAGGGCTGTGGCTGTAGCATTAACAGCTTCCTCGTCCTCTTTTGTCTTTCGCCCCTAGGTGCTGGGTTTGGCTCAGATCAGATCAGCTTAGTAGGGCTCTCCACTCCACGGTCTTCTTCCTCAGTTCTTGCACACAAAGATCCAAAATAGATACTGCGATTTCTTTTGCTCTGACTCCGCCATACAGCGCTCCTCCACATGGGGTGCGAAGCTGTCTGACGGCAAGCCAAGGGACAGGCAGGGCAGGGCAGCAGCGGGTGTCCCTGAGGCAGAGGCTCCTGCAGAAGAGGTTGTGCCAAAGCCAGGTGAAGAGCTGCCCTGGGTTTGGGACTGCAGCACCGCAGGCTCTCCGGGTCTCTGGGCACAGCTTAATTGAACAGGTAAAAAAAAAATGTGATGAGAATGGAAAGGGGAGTGGGGAAAATGCAAAAAATTATACAGTCTTGAATTTTTTGTTCAGAATTTTTTTTTCTTGCTTGGATGCTGAAGTTTCAAGGCAGACAGACATTCAGGAGGGGAGGAAACAACATTTTGTTGTTTTCTCTGCTTTCTCCACCTCTCCTTCTCCTGTAATGTTCAGCTAGCCCTCAGTATTGTATGGCTTTTCTCCTCCCATATCTCTGCCTATGGGCTAAGGTAGCTCGGCCAGCTGGACTCTGAAACATCCCTTATCTTTATCTGTGGAATGCCAAAGTGAACTGTAGGAAGGATTTAGGCAGCACTGGTGGTGATGTGATGATTACTTAGATTAATTTTAAAGCCTTTTTGGCTTTCAAAATTTTGCTCATGACTCATGTCTTCACAAGATATGATTAGAGAGGTTTATTGCAGCAATGGTGTGTGTGCAGCCTTGAAGAGCCTCTTGTGTTGATTTAAAGGCAATCTCTCAAATGAGAAGGTGAAAAATGAAGCCCCAGATGAGACATCAGGACCTGACTTTTCTACCAGCTGGTATTTGTTTGTCTGCATCTGCCACTGCTCTGAAAAAGCTGCTGCCAGTAGGAGCTGTGCTGCATCCCTGTGCTGCGTGCAGGGGTCTGCTCCCTGCCTTGGTTCTGTGGCACCGAGAAGGTACAAAACTTGATTTTTGTCCATAAAACAAAAAGTTATGACTCAAAGAGCAAAGCAGGAGCTGAGTAAGGCTGTTCTGATGCCAGAGCAAGATTGAATGTGGGCTGTGAAAGCAGTGAGTGACTGCCATGTGTTCACAGCACAGGCATTGCGACACACTGCGCCTGCTCTCCTGGTTTCCAGTGCTCCCCATGGGAAGCACAACCATGGGTGATTTACCAGAAATGACAGTGACTGACAGGGAGAACATGGATCCCAAAGCAGCTGAGCTCCATCTCGATCAAAGTCCATCACATCTCCTATGGGTGCATGTTTTTCTTTGGGTAGAGTTCATGTTCTGTTTCCCCAGTGAGATTTTTTTTGTCTTCTCAGCACTGTTCCTGCAGTGCTGTGCAACCAACCTTCTGTGTGCTTCAGCCTCAGCACTGCTGTGAGCCCTTCTGCTGTGCAGTGCAGCCGATGGCACAGGGCTGCCTGCTGGGCCCTGAGCAGAGCCAGCTTTTCACATCTCGCTTCCTGATGGTGTCTGACTGTGGCAGACACACGATTTGCACCCAGTTTCATGCAAGAACTCCGGGTGCCAGATGGGATCCTGGCAGCCTCATGCTGAACCTTGGCAGACTGTTCAGTGAACCCGAGACAGGATTTTAATTCAGGGCAGAAGATGGCAGCTGGCATTTAGCTCTCTTTTTCAGTGGTACATTTCTGAAAGGTGTTCAGTGCTTCGTGTGGCTGCTGTGATCACACTCGTGGACTGGTCAGCAGTCAGTGTTCTGGCTCCCTTGTTGCTGCCTTGGCCTCAGCCAAAGGACTGCTGTATTCCTGCACTGGCACTTGTTGGGCATATGAATCAGAAGCATATTTGCATATCCTAAATTTAGTGTACGCATCCATGTATCTAGTCTGTGTGCACAATTTGGGCATGTTTTCATTTGCATTTTATTGCATTTAACTGAGGCGGGTTTAGAAAAGCTGGTTTAGATCAATCTGAGTTGAGCAGGACCTCTAGTGGGCCGCAGTCAGAACACCAGCGCTTCTGTACCCTTCAGCCATCCTTGAGAGCTTGCTCAGAAGGGAAATATTTCAGTATTTCCAGTTATAACGTTACAGTAGTTGATAACATTTTACCTATCACATGGAGATTTATACATCGTGTGTAATGCTATCAGCCTGAATTTGCACAGCAGCTTAACCACCTGTGTAGCTTTTTCCATTCCTTAAATCATGTTTCCACAGTCGTTTGTTCCCATATATTCCATTAAATGTATTTACTCGATGTTAGATGAATGATACACCATATATCCACCCTGGAGCTCATCTGTGCCCAGTGCATGCGGAGAGGCCCAGAGCAGAGCAGTGCTGGAGCCGCACCGAGCGCCAACCTGCTGCTGGGATGCTGCACAGCTCTGGTGGTCCCACTCCTGCCCAGACCCCAGGGGCATAAACCCACAGTGCTACTGCACTCCCACACTGTGGGGGAATCTCGCCTCCTTACTGTAAATGCAGGGGCACCCAGGAGAGAAGGAGGCTGGGAGCAGCCGCATCCTGAAGCTCTTATTTCATATTTTTGCTGATTTTTTTCTCACTTTTCTCCATTTGCACTCTTGAAAACAGAAAAAATCTCATAGGGTCTGGATTTCTGTTTGAGGAGATCGATACATGAGTTCATACACATTTACTTTCCTGGAGGCGATTTGAGCAAAGGCAGAGTAACGTCAGTGTTGAAGTTCATCAAGAATTTACTACACTAAAATGAAAACTTGCCTTTGGGTTTTAATTCCAAATTGGAGCAAAGCAATTTATGTTATCACCATCGGTTTTGATGCTCGTTGTGTTCCTCTGTTATCTTCCCCAGTCAAAGGAACAAAGAAGCAGGCAGGGTGCTGGGCACAGGCTGGGAGTCTGAGAAGCATCACTCCATTTGAGTAAGGCAGCAACAGACCTTAAAGAAAATGCTAACGAAGCTTGAAATCACATTTGCATTGCAAATAATACAATTTGTTCTGCCTTTGTACAGAATTAATTTGAACTGTTTGCTGTTCTGTTCCAGTTGTGCAGGTGAATGGTGCTGCCTGTTCAGGTGCCTCAGCCCTTCAGGATCGCATTGAGAACCAAGGCAGGGTAAGTGGAAAACTTGCTGCATTGGGCAGATCTTCCATTCAACGCATGCTGGTGTTCCTTTGTCAGCTGTCCTCACACAGCAGACAAGGGGAGCCCCTGTCAAGGCTGCCTGGTGGCTTCCCCAGTGCAGCAAGAGCTCTTGAAGAATGCAGTGTCAGCAGCAGGCAGCCAGGATTAAGGCCAATTAGTGAGGGGGAGCACCCAAACCTGTCCCCACCACTGACCTCTGTCCCATTGAGCACACCTTGCTGCAAAGCAGGCGTGCATCAGAGGGCCGTGATGCTGCCCAGGTGTGTCAGGGAGCTGGGGCTGGGATGGGGCTGGGATGGGCTTGGAGGCAGGGATGGGAGGAGAGGCAGTTTTATCCCAGATCTGTGCGCTGTGTGACTGCTGGGGAGCCCAGGCTGTGCACTGCCTGGTTCATGAGAAGGAAGGGCTGCTGTGGTTGGAGTGCAATTTCTTTTAACGTGAGCCCACATGAAGGGAAGCTCTGGGGCGGTTTTTCTCTTGTGCAGTGCATAAATAAAGTGTCTCTGTTTGGTTCTTCTCAAAGATCATATCTTTATGAGAAATATTATTCTAGCCACGTAGAAAAAACAAGGATGCTTTCTGTGTCATTTCAATATACATTGCTGAAGAGGCATCAAGTCTTGAAGGTGTTTCTTCTGCATTGGAAAGTCTGGTGTGAGTGTGGGTGAAAAGATAGGTTAGAAACCCAGGATCAAATCCAGACCTGGTTACTTTGCTTTCAGAACAAGTTTAAGATGCTGTTCTCCGGGCTCACAGTGTTTGTGCACCCTTTTGGAGACAGCATTTCTGTGGCAGTGGTGAAATGTGCAGCTGAAGTCCCTTATGCAGCAGCTGGCTTTGCTGTAGGCTGCCCATATGGCTGTAAGGGTTCGGTCAGAAGAGAACAAACTCAAGACTTCTTGCATTAGCAGTGTTGGAAGAGCCTTTGAATCAAGGGGAGGTGATAGCATTACCCTACAGTGGAGCTCTTTTGATTCATTTTCAAAGAAAGATCATTAGGCCACTTTCCTAAATATGGTATTTTGACGAGGAATTGTTTGGCTTTTGTTGCATATTTGGAACAAATGTTGTCCACCTCTTAAATGCTGTTTTATCCTCTCAATCTTGGATATCTTCATCCAGCAATAACACATCCTTAGGTGATGACTTTCCTAAACACGTGCATCTGTCTCAGTTGGCATTTCCCATACTTTCTGAGGACGTTTTTGGATAAGTGTTCAGTAGTTCAGCTTCATCTGCGTACAGAAACAGAGCTTTTTTTGGCTTTCTGCAGACAGAGGCTTCAGAACAGTCACATCTACAAACTATTTAACTTTCAAACGCTCATTAAATCCTTGGCTCCTTCTGCAGGCTGTGCAAGTGCCACGTACAGAATTCTGGAAGTGAGCTGGGAGGAGGAATGGGATAAAAGCTGTGTGCCCTTCTCAGCATCACACCCCACAAAGCACTGCTGTCTGGCCGTGCACTGTCACTCATCTGAAGCATGCTATGCAACACGCAGGGCGTGCTGCAGTGTGCAGCAGCACAGGCCATTAAGGCCATAACAAAGTTCAACCAGCGACAGGGTTGGCAATGCTTCGTAAGTTTGTTTGCATCAGAGCAGTCTGAAAGGAGGCTGATACTTGAATGCATTTCTGTGCTTCACATGGGAAAAGCAGTGAGAAATAGGTGGTGTCTGATTTAATCCACCATTTTCACCATCCAAATCTATTTTTTATTCCTGCTGCACAGTTTTAGCAAGAAAAGTGAGTGAAAAATTGCTGTCATAAAAGACTCATCTGCTTCCCATTACACTGACATTTAAGGATTGCACACACTGAAGTGTTCCTATGCGCCAGAGAGTGGCAGAGAAAACAGAAGGTTGAAATTCACAACAAATGGGGGATTTTGTAATTTGGCTGCCCTGGAGGTGGGCGAGGCGCTGGGCACTGGGAGCCATGCACTCAGCCCTCCCACCTCCCTGCTGCTGAGTGCCAAGGGACTCCATTGTGGGCACACAGGAGAAGCCTTTCTCCAAGCCTTTGCCCTCTGCCTCCTCCAGATGCAAAAAAGGCAACGTTGGTGTTTTCAGAAGTCAGAGCCGTGCTCCCACAGGCAGAGCCCTGAAGGCGGGGATCCATGGCTGTATTTCATCAGTCCTGGTCTTTACTCCAATGCAATTGTGAACGTTCTTTGAATTGGGAAAGTTCTTTTCCTTCTGTGCAGATTCAGCCAACTGCTACCTTCTGGTTTCTCAAAGTTATGAGCGGCGTTTTTGTGAGTGAGGTTCCTAAAAATCCCATCTGTCTCAGCAGTGAGCAGCAGGCAGCTCTGTGCTCCTGGTGCAGCTGGATGGTGTGGAGTACAGGGGCTTCTCACCTTGTGTGCCTTCGGGCGCCCGCAGAGCCATGGAAGGACTGCGAACGGCGAAGTCCTGGCAGTTCCTCACACCTCTGCTGGTGGTTGAGCCGTACGGTGCGGCTCCAGGCCGGAGGGTCCTGACTGCAACACAGTGGTTTCCATTCAGAGCAACTTCTCAAAGTTTCACATGTTAAAATATCTAAAGTCTATTTCAAAAATAATAAAATAAATATTACTATGGTCAAAACACTGAGTTGTGAAAGCACAAAGATGAGGCTCCTTATTCACCAGCTACCTCTTCTGTACCAAATACATTCAATTTACAAGTCCATAGCCGTCGCTGGTTTTTCTCTCTCTGTAGGGCTCCCTTCTCAGTCCTGTCCTTGTGTTTGCAGCTGTTTGCTCAGTCCCACACGGCTCTGCTGCCAGCAATGGACCTGGGCTGGGCTGTGCATGGCTTGGAGCTCCTGCTGCTGAGAGCAGGGACGTGCTTGCTCACTTACTGTTACTCCACCCCTCTTCCCAGACAGTAAAACTCAGTTTGAAAGTAAACTGTATGTTTTATCTTCAGAGGAAAACTGTAAAAAGAGACGCCAATGGGTTTTATTGGATTCAGCTTGCACTGTTTTTTGTGATCCTTTGAAATCTGTAGCATTTTTTCTAGCTTTGTGTCCAAACCTGGACTTTGCATTTAGTAGTGACCCATCCTGCAGCTGCAAAAGGAATGTGTTTATTGCTCTGTAGCAAAGAACAAAATAGCTAAATGCTCATATTTGAATAAAAGCATTCCGCTTCTCTTAGAAACAGAGCTGTGCTTTGGATTTCCAGCTCCTTCCAGAGTTGGAAATACCAGTACTGGAGCACACTGCAGTAAGGAAGAATTGCCTTCGGCTCTGCAGAATGAGCTCTCCAACTTGCCTACCAGGTGGTGAAAATCAAACAGGAAAAATCACATGGCAAAGTATGTTACCAAAAAAAAACCCACTGTTTTTTTAGTTAGGGGTGAGTACAGGTAACATGTGGTGTGTAGGGCAGTGTTTAAACTGCGTGAGAGATCAAGGGTCCTAATTCTAAGCTTGGGAGCAATGTTATTAAACTAATGCAGTGTAAACCTGTTGTAGGATGAGAGGTGTAGATTTAGGTTATTTTGTACTGGAAGAGGTATTTGGTGAAGGAAGTGCTACATTCACCATGTGCTTAGGAACCCCATCAGTCTGCAGCTCTCTGAGGCTGATCACATTTTTTTAAAGAAGACTGAATTAATTCAGAAATCCAAAGAGAATGGAAGTGGCTACAGATATGCCCGCCTGTGCATTTAGCACTGCCTCCAGCATTTGGGTGTTCATTCTTCTTTCCCCCACCCCCTCTGGCAACTCAAGCTGCTGAAGTTTTATTAATAGTGAAAATGCTTGGTTAATTCTTCCAGCATAATGGCTTCACAAATTCTGATCTGCTTTTTTTTTTCCCCAGGCACAATCATTTTTTAAGTGCACTGTATGGGTTTATGCTCATTTCCCCACCCGTTTCACGGTTTCTGATCTCTAAATGCTGGGATTTTGATATTAAATGTTATTACCAGCCCTTGTTTTTACAGATTTTTAGAAAGCTCCCAAATGTTTGCTGCTCTGATGTTTGTTGCATTCAGATCTACAGCTTCCTAGCTGCCTGCCACAAACTGCATGCTTGCAAATGGTAATTAGATGCACTATTTTATGAGCGACATGAATTCAAATGAATGTGCTTACACCAGCCCCTGAGCCACAGAGCAGCCCAGGGATGCTGATAGCAGTGATCAATCACAGCTGGGCTACAAGCCAGCAGCAGCTCAAGGCCCAAGTTCCCTGCACAGCTCCTGGCTCTGCAGAGCCCCCGGGATTTTGATTTGGGGTTGGTATTCCTGTGCAGAATGTGAAGAAATTGCTGCTCACACACTCATGTAGGGCCCTTTGGGTTCTTATGTTCCCAAGTAAAACACTATCCAAATATGGAGGTTTTAAAAACAGATTTAACCAGGAAAGAGATCATCTGCTTTTCCTTTGTTTTTCCTTTATTTTCCCTAATCTGTCTCACAAAAGAGAAGTTTGAGATCACAGACCTTAGGAAGATGTGCTCAGTTCTGACATCTCAGAATGCTGTTCTTCCCCAACTGGTTCTTTCATCAGACTTTAGTTCTGAATGCTTTTCCCCTTTAATCCTAGTAAGATGTCTCATGCACGTACGTTTTAATCTTTAGCATTAATTAATTTGGGAAAGTGTAAAGAAGCAGAAGCATAGAAGGAAAGTAATAAAAACTGATTGATGACTAAAGCCAAGGAAACAGAACTGCAGCCTGCCTGCAGACATGGCTATTAATGAGATTTCCTTCATTTCTGCCTGAGTGGGGGTCATTTCTCACACCACCGATCGCTGAGAGTTTCCCGTCTCTGTGCCTGGTCCCAGTTAGGGTCGCAGGCAGATACTGGTAAACACAGCACAATATTGATACAGAAGCAGGAATTTCTGACCTGACGTATGGATGTGACCCACCGGAGATCTTAGTGGTGTGTTCCTGAGGTGACCAAAGAGGGGAGGCAGCTTTGCTTGTGGCTGTTCATGCAAACTGAAGCTCTGAGATTGTGTTGCATGGGTAG